TCACTTATATAGATGCTTATAGCCTGGCAGGTGAGGAAGAAGAAGAACAGATTGGATTTATACCCCGCCTTTCACTACCCAAAGGTGTCTACCCCCCACAGATCCCTCACTCACCCCAATCAAGGTTCCGCCACCGCCACCCTGCACCAGTCAGGCCATGCCCACGCACCCCCAATCAAAGTGGGAAGGCAGGCAAGGGGGCTCTTCAGGCCTTCCCTGGGTCCCGGTGCCTCGGCATGGGCCAGGGAAGGTGGGCGGGGGGGCCCTCTTCAGGCCTTCCCCGGGTCCCAGCACCTTGGCACAAGCCCGGGAAGGTGGGCGGGGGGCTCTTCAGGTCTTCCCTGGGCCCTGTGCTTTGGCGCGGGCCGGGGAAGGTGGGCAGGGGGTGGGCTTTGCAACTTACCTCTCTGCCTCTGTTCCTCATGGCCTAACTGAGGGCTTCTGGGAGCAGGGAGCGTAGCTTGCTGCATGTGCCTGCCCCCTGGGCTCAGAAGGCAGCTGGAACACATGGGATGGTGACAGTTTCTCAAAATGTGGTATATTGGTCTGACTAGACCTCTGGTGTTTACTAAAAATTCTGATAGTTTCCACCAGATTCCAGCACAATGCTGAGGCAGAAACATGGAGTGCCATTTGCCAGCATCCAGGCTCTAGTCAGATCAACTATAAATAAGTGTAGAAGGGGCCCACCTCCAGGCCCCCACTCCACCCCCTTGCCTCTTAGTGTCTCCCTTGGTAAACTCACCCAAGGAGTGGTACTACCCACTTGGGGAACTATTGCTCTAGTGCATCCATGCTAAGCATGCATGGCAACACTTCGCGTGGGATGGGATATTACCTACTTTTGGGACCCAAACAGATGAAATAACTTCACATTGTTTGGAGATGGTCCTGGCTAACCATCGATGTACCAGATGTTAGGGTTTTTATGCCAGTGTTTCTTGAGCAGTTGATTTCACACTTCAACAATTATGTTATGGCATGCAAAACTCTCTTGATAAATGGCATGAGAGACTGAAATGCTATTTTATTTACCTAGTAAAAGTGTTATTTGACTTGCCTTCTAAATGCAAATTTGCCTTGCAGAGTCGGGCAGATCTCTACGTATCACGATTCCCAGATTTTACCTCTGTAAAAAATATTCTTCATTGGGGCCAGGTACAGTAACTGAAGATAAACATAACTCTTGAATATTGTCTGCATACATCTCTGTCATATAATGTTAGCATTTATTTAAATACAGGATTGTAAGATGGCTCTGATTCTAAATAATTTAGTCAAGAGAAATGCTAAGCTTGTCTGTATGTAACTCCTTTATAATCAGAAATCATCTGCATTTTTAGGCTATTGTGTTCTCAGGTAGAAGACTGAATCACAGTGGTGACATTCAGGATCCTGGTTATTCTAACTATTATTACTCTCAGTGTGTCAGTAATAAACATCTACTCTCTCTTGGGAGCTATGGCTCAATGGTGGAACAGCTGATTTGCATGCAAAGCCTCAGAATCAGTCTTTGACATCTCTAGTAAAGGATATTAGGTAGCAGATGCTGCGAACAACCATTCTCCGCCTGAGACATAGGAGAACTAATGCCAATCACTGAACTTTAGACTCAGTGTCTGAAGGTACAAAACAGCTTATTTGAAGTCATGTCCTTTTTGTAATGAACATAGCTTAGAACAGAAGGAAGAACTCTATTGGTGAAAGAAATCCAGTTTGCAAGGTAGTGAATCAGTCATGTGACTACTTTCCTATAAGCATGTGTGCTGGGGAAACTATGATAAGGGGAGCTGAGAAAGTGAGCTCGCTGGAGATCTGTATTTATAGCAAAGTTGATAGTAAATGATTTTGCCTTTAGTAAAATGGAAATGGCCATTCATCCTGGCTGCCACAATAAAAGTCATGTGAATTAATCCTGATCCTCAACACTATATGAAAGTTTGCTCATTCATAATGTCTAGAAGGCAGCAGACTGATCATTGTTAGGGCCTAACATAAACACACCTTGCCTGTTTTGAAACAGGTTTATTGACTGCTAGTTTGTTTCTGAGTTCAATTCAAGGTGATAGTTATGAACTTCGAAGCCCTTAATGGCTTGGAACTAGGGTTGCCAACTCTGGGTTGGGAAACTTCCTGGAGATTTGGGGGTGGAATTTTGGGAATAATAGGTTTGGGAAAGGGAGGGTTCTCAGTGGGGTATAATTCTATAGAGTCCACCCTCCAAAGTGCCCATTTTCTTTGGGGGAACTGATGTCTATAGCCTGGAGACCTCCAGGCCCCACCTGGACGTTGGGAAACCGATTTGCAAGCCACAAATCTAAGGGACCATATATCCCAGTATTTCCCCATGCACCAGCAAAGACTGTCAGTTTACCACCTTCTGGTGGTAGCCCAGCTGACATTGAGCAGGGTTTGAACTTACTCTGTGATTGCTCCCATTTTATGGAGCAGGCACCCAGAGGAAGAGAGGGGGTACAGTCCTCGGAAATGTTGAGGAGCTGTAAGGCCATTTTAGTTATTTATTTAATTTCAAACATTTCTGTGCCTCCGGATGCCCAAGGGTTATATATAACTCTGAAGGTCAATTGGGCCTGGAATCAAATTCGGAGCCAGGGTAGATGGAACAAGACTGGAGTGACGTGGTCCCTACAACCTACTCCATTCAGTGTTTTGGCCACAGCATTCTGTACCAACTGTAGTTTCTGAACAGTCTTCAAGGGCAGCATCACATAGAGCATGTTGCAGTAATCTAATCTAGATTTTAACTGGGCATGCACTGCAGTGAAAAGATCTTTCCTGCCCAGGATGGGCTTCAGAGAAGTAACTCTTCTTTTGTACGTCAGAACCCAATAAGCCCCTGACTACTAGGAAGAGTTCCACAGGGCTACTTCTAGAACTTTAATGGACTATCACAGGCATTTTATGTACTTGAGATTGAATTATGATTTTACTGCTTTTTATTATTTTTGATTACATATTGTAAGCCACTTTGACCCCTGGGAAAGACAGGGTACAAATGTTTTAATTAATACATAAAAGACTGATAAATAAAAATGGAGGCAAGAAGGTCAGTCGAACTTAGATATGATAATCTTTAGTGGTTGCTTTCTTTCACCAGATATTGATCATCATAAAACAGGTTTAGCAATTGTCTTTCTCCATGCTTCCTTTAGGCTTTGTTGTGAAAGCCACAATACTCACCCACCCCTTGTTTTCATTCATTTTCCTAGGTAGTTAAATCAGGGGAATTCAGATATTATGACTATGGCGTAGGACTGGCAGATAAATGCAACAAGGTATGATTTGCTTGAGTTTTATGTCTGTTTTTGTTTGGCAAAGAGATGAAAGGATGTCTGAGTCTCCATTTCTGTCTGCAAAACAGATGCAAGCAATTTTATTTGGATATTTCCTTCCTTTTCATGTTGTTCTTTAACATTTTATTAATAATCTTTACTGTAGTTGTTATACCTTTTTTCTATTCTGTGTTTCCATTATAAGCATTTATAGCTGTGACTTTTCATTTGCCACTCAAATTGGGATGAAGTTCTTGGAGTTTTTACACTTCACCCATGCAGTCCTTCCTGTCACATTCCAGGGAAAAAAGGAGAAAGTGTCATTATTTAAGCAATTTAAATTCTCACTTGCACTGTGGATACTGGAAGGCATGAATTGCCACGTGAGTTAATTTTCCTTGAATTCTAAAGCCTGACATGTGCTGGGTGTGCAGGTGCAGAGGATGTGCAACAAAAACAGAGAACACAGGCAAGGGAAGCTAAGGGTGCTGTTAAATATAATTCAAGATGTCAAGTGATCTCAAACTCTTAAGCAGTAGTTCACTCTTACATTGTGAACCAGTTCCTTCCCCATTAGTCATTTCTTGCACTCCATCTGGGCTGGCAATATGTGTGCGCACATGTGTGTATACTGCTAAACTGGTTGTTCATCTATCCTTTTCTCAGTCTAAGAAGCAAGTACGTTATGTACCACAGAGGGTCAAAACTTGAGCCTCTCCCTTAGTAAAACAGACTATTAAAATGTCTGCGAAAGAGTCTATTGAGAAATAACTAAAATGGTTCTCATGGGGACAAACTTCGTCATCTACTTTAGGTAGAAATTGTAGATACTCCATGTATGAGCCATAAGAATTCCAGAACACATCATCCAGAACACATCATGCGAAATGCTGGCCTGGATGAATCACAAGCGGGGATTAAGATTGCTGGGGAAAAGATCAACAACCTCAGATATGCAGACGATACCACTCTAATGGCAGAAACTGAAGAGGACCTAAAGAGCCTCTTGTTCAGAGTAAAAGAGGAGAGCGCAAAAGTGGGCTTGAAGCTCAACATCAAAAAAACTAAGATCATGGCATCTGGCCCCATCACTCCTTGGCAAATAGAAGGGGAAGTCGTGGAAGTAGTGACAGACTTCACGTTCCTGGGATCCCAGATCACCGCAGACTGTGACTGCAGCCATGAAATTAAAAGACCTCCTTGGGAGGAAAGCGATGGCGAACCTAAACAGCATGATAAAAAGTAGAGACATCACCCTGCCAACAAAAATCCGCATGGTCAAAGGAATGGCATTCCCAGTAGTCATGTATGGCTGCGAGAGTTGGACTATAAGGAAGGCCGACGGCCAAATAATAGATTCTTTTGAACTATGGTGCTGGAGAAGACTCTTGAGAGTACCTTGGACTGGAAGAAGAACAAATCAGTCAATCCTAAAAGAAATCAACCCTGACTGTTCCCTGGAAGGCCAGATAATGAAACTGAAGCTCAAATACTTTGGCCACCAAATGAGAAGGGAGCACTCACTGGAGAAGACCCTGATGCTGGGAAAGACTGAAGGTCAAAAAAGACGGGGACGGCAAAGGATGAGATGGTTAGACAGTGTCATAGATGCAACGAACATGAAATTGAGCCCAATTCAAAGGATGGCGGAAGACAGGAGGGCCTGGCGAGATCTGGTCCATGGGGTTGCGAAGAGTCGGACTCGACTGTGCGACTGAACAACAGCAACAACAAATCAACTGTATTTTGGTTTCCCTCAAAATTCCTCACCTTTGTTTTACCTTTGGTAGAACTTCACATCTTGCTATAGGTAATATTTCTGTAGTATTGCTAGTTAATTCTGTTATCCTGTTACCTCCCACCAAACTGTTATTTTGTTTGTTTTTTTCCTCAGACTTCTCCTCCCTTGTACAGGATAGAAGAGATCACTGTGCCAATAGCAATATGGCATGGAGGACGGGACTGGGTTTGTCAGCCTGCAGAAATTGAAGCTTTGTTACCACGAGTCACAAATCTCATCCATCAACAATATTTTCCTGACTGGGACCACTTTGACTTCCTTTGGGGCTTTGATGCTCCTCAGCGTTTGTACAGAGAAATCCTTGACCTGATGGAGAAGCATCTGTGAGACTGTTTGGGATTAAGGGCAATCAGTTTACACTAGCTCCTTCCACTTGAGTAAATTTGGGTCAAACCCACTGATATCATTTAAAATAACTTGTGTTGAACTTTGCTTAACCCTCAGCCCTGTGTGCTGCCTGCTCACCCTAGAGAAGAGACTGGTTCCATAACAATTAATGTTATATTTTCAAAGTAAACACCTTGATAATATACTTCACTCTCTTCCATCAAACCCCTTTTAAAAACCTATGAAGCCTTTGGTTTAATCCCTTAGTCTTCATCCCTTACTGTTAGCATGCTAGATAAAGTTCCTCCATATGTTTTATGCAGGATGAGTGAACCTGCCTCTTCCACTGTAGGAGGAAGAAAAATGAAAAATGAAAACCCATTTTGGGTCTTGTGCAGCTCAGCCAATGGGAAGAGGTGTGGTAGACTGTAGCTCCCCTGGTTGTCATAAGCAGGACCACTGTAGAAATGCAAGAGACACCTTACTATGGAGACCTCCCATATTCAGATCTGGATGTATTTCCTCTTTTGGGATCTCCTGAGGTTCATGGTATGACACGCAGTAGATTCAGAAGAGGCTTCAGTAAAATTCCACCCAGCCTGAAGGCACTTCCAAGCATGACAGAAGGGAAGCTGCTTGAATATGGCTACTGGAAAGTGATGAAATCAGTCACTTCTCCACTTAAAATTCAGGCAATATCTGACAATTAGGGATGGGCATGAACAAGCTCATGAACTAAAGTGATGGATTTTGGGCAGTTCATGGTTCGCGACCTGAACTTTGTGGCAGGTCAACTGGCATAAACTTTCCATGAACTTTCAAGAAGTTAGTGTGGAGTTCATGTGGTTCATAAATGGATACATTTACAGACACCTTCTCTGCTAAATTAAAATGTTTACCAAATGTCTTGTCAGTTTCAAGATATTTCTTTTGCTTTGTCATAGTTCCTTTGTGTTCTCTTCCCATTTTCTTGCACAGAGCTTGCAAAATGCCCCCCCCCAACTTGGATTTGTGACTCTGTGCTTTGAGATTAGTCCTTTTAAGCTTGAAATGCCAGTGGCACTAGGTTCTGCTGGACACTCTGTGATTCCACTGGTACTGCTGGGCACTCTGTGATTACATTGGTACTGCTGGGCACTTTGTACATTGAACTGGTTCTACTGGGCTTGCAAAAATGCCCCTCTTGCTTGGATTGTGATTGAGCTTGCATTGCCACATCGGCACTGGGTTCTGCTGGGCACTAGTACATTGCACTGGTTCTGCTGGGATTCCAGGCCCCCCTGTTTTAAATATGATTCTGTGCTTGGCGTCAGTCCTGTTGAGCTGGCATTGCCACATTGACACTGGGTTCTGCTGGGCATTCTTTGATTGCACTGGAACTGCTGGGCTTGCAAAAATGCCCCCTTCAGTTTCTACTACAGAGATTCTCTGAGTTGACCTTAATCTAGTTGGTTTGCACTCCCACAATGGCACTGCTTCTGCTGGGCACATTGCACTGCTTCTACTAGGCTTGCAAAAATGCCCCCCCCCCCGCTTCAGCTTCTACTGCAGAGATTTTCTGTGACTTTGATTCTGTTCTGCTGGGCTTCTATTGCCCTTGCTTTTTTGGCTCTCCCCCATTGGAAACGATGGAAGATGGGGGCACCTTCTTGGGGGGGGGCATAACTCAAACTCTGAAAATCCAATCCTCACCAAATTTGGAAGGCAGGTAGAGGAGACTCTGCCAGAGATCCCTCTGCAAGTTAGGTGTCTCTAGTATGCTAGATGTGTGTGTTCTACTGTATCATGAACTGCATTTCCCTGGTTCATGCCCATCCCTCCTAATGATAATAACACACACTTAATGCATGGAAGGATCTAGCTGGCAATCACCCTACTCTTAAGCCTATTTTGCCCCTCAGGTACAATCATCAGCACACTCTGGATCATTTGTCCACCCTCCAGATCAGCAGGTGATCAGTCCATTCCAGTCACTTAGCCTTTTCGTATGTGCCACCTTGGTATCCATAATTCTTCCTGCCTAGCAGTTAAATCCAAATTAACCAATAGAATTCAAACGTTTTGGCTGCAACCCAATCCTGGCCTTGAAGCACACTGACTGCTCTGTTCCAGGACTTTTCCTGTATAAATATCATCCCCAAACCTCAGAACTTTGCAGCAGTTTTTCAGACCATCCACCTCCTACCCTTGTGCCCCATTGCAGGAAAGCCCCAGAGATTTTCAGCAGGTCTTGGTCTCTGCCCCACTTTCATACCTTCTCCTTTGATCACCACCTGGGATTGCTCAGAATGCAGAACTGCTATGTGTCCTCCTCATCTGCTCATGTATATATGAGGTAGGGGGAATTTATTTATTTATTTAGATATCTATCCCGCCCTCCCCGAAGGCTCAGGGCGGCTAACAGGGCACAATGCCAAGTAATAACAATAAAACAGTATAAAACATTAAATTACAATAAACAATTAATAAACCCATAACATTTCCGGTGCTCCTCTATACAGTTCTAGAAGTTAAGATTTTAAGACCCAGAGGGTGTTCTCAGTAACATAGCTAGACAAGCACAGCAGTATAAATCATACTGCCCTGCTGTCCCCTAAACACGTCCCATTCTCTCCAATAGTGCCTGCACCAGCAGTAGCAGTATGCAGGAATCATAGGTTGTTGATGGAACGATGATGGTAAAACAATGATGGTGGCGGCTCCTATTCGAAAGCCTGGCAGAAGAGCTCCATCTTACAGGCCCTGTGGAACTGTACTAGGTCCCACAGAGCCCGGATCTCCCCTGGGAGCTCATTCCACCAGATAGGAGCCACCACCGAAAACACCCTAGCCCTGGTCATCACATATTTGGTGGTCCTGGGGCCTGGAACATCCAGGAGATCTTGATTCCCCGACCATAGTGCCCTTGGGGGAAGATGTGGGGAAAGGCGGTCCCTTAGGTAGGCTGGTCCCTGGCCATATAGGGCTTTAAAGGTAAGAACCAGCACTTTGAAGTGAATCCGGTACGCTATTGGCAACCAGTGCAGTGCTTTCAGCCCAGGCCAGATGTTAGGAAGACCCATCAACAGCCTGGCTGCAGCATTCTGCACTAGTTGCAGCTTCCGAATTTGCAACAAAGGCAGCCCCATGTAGAGAGCATTACAGTAGTCTAGCCTCGAGGTGACCGTCGCATGGATCACTGTGGCCAGGTCATCACGGTCGAGGAAAGGGACCAACTGCCGCGCCAGCCGAAGATGATGAAAGGCCGACTTGGCAGTGGCTGCTACCTGGGCCTCCATTGTTAATGAGGAGTCCAGGAGCACACCGAAACTCCTAACCTCTGACGCTGGCACCAATGGCACCCCGTCGAAGGTTGGGAGAGGGAGCCCTAACCCCGGACCGATCCAACTCAGACCCAGGACCTCCGTCTTTGCCGGGTTTAATTTCAGCCGACTCAGTCTGAGCCACCCAGCCACGGCCTGTAATGCCCGATGAAGGTCATCGGGAGTGGAACCCGACTGGCCGCCCAACATCAGATATAGCTGGGTGTCATCAGCATATTGATGACACCCTAGCCCACAACTCCGGGCAATCTGGGCAAGGGGGCGCTTGTAGATGTTAAACAACATCGGGGATAGCACTGCCCCCTGACGTACGCCACGGGGAAGGAGATCTGCATCCTCCTTTTCTCTTTTATTTGGTACAATGTGCTTGAGTGACAGGCTCATGAAGGAAAGTAATCCAGAGCACTTCTCAGAACCAAAGAACAAATTGAAAACCAAGTTTTATTATCTGCACACATACCTAAGCTAATGGGAAAATCTAAGAGGTGAAAATACAGAACACTGAAATTAAAAGAACAGTCCAGTTTCTTTAGAAAAGAGCATGAGTTCAAGGTGCCACAGGACTCCATCTCTCTCTCTTTCTCTCTCTCTTTGACTCTTTCGCTTTCCCTCTCTTCCTCCCCAAAGGAGGAGAAGGGAGAGGAGACCTCAGCCAATGGAGGGAAGGGAGCCTTGGCAACACAGCAGCAGCCCCAGAGAAGGAAGTAGGCGAGAGCAATTGAGGGAGCTTCTCTCTCTCTCATGCACACACACTCTCATTCCCTCCCCCTCCCTTCCACCCCAAAGGAGGAGAAGGGGAAGGAGACTTCAGCTAATGGAGAGAAAGGGAGGGCTGGTGATGCAGTAGCAGGCCCAGAGAACAAAGCAGGAGAGAGTGATTGAGGGAGCTGAGCAAAAGCAAGCTGCGATGCGGTGGCAGTAGGAGCCCCAAGGAAGGAAGTATGAGAGAACCAGTTGCTCGCAAGCTAGGTACCAGACCTGCATGAGCCAGTTCTGGCCCACGGACCATATGTTTGACACCCCTGGTTTAGAGGAGGCTGAATATATTTAATTTGTAACTAAAGGTTCCCAGTTGAAAAGTTCAATGAAATCAAAACATCGTTACTTATACCTTACTTTCCTCAGTGTTATGTTCATACCATAGATAAAAGGTAACTTCTTGTTTTGGTTTAACCTGTGGACTATCTAAGGCAGGGGTGTTGAACTTGTTTGTTATGAGGGCTGGAGACCTTGCTGGGCTGGGCCATGTGTGTCATAAAATGTAATGCCAGGTAGCGAAGATATAAACTTTATAAAGGACACAAACACAAAGGTGTTTTTTTTACTTAAAATAAAAACATGCTTAAAACATTCGCACTCTTGCCATATTTTGTTTATTTAACAGTTTCTGATAACTGACACCTCTTGCTCTGAATTATTGCATCAAAATGTCTGTGCTGCTGAAATCTTGAGTATGCTGTTCAGGTGTGTATCTGTAAGCTGCAAACCTATTATGATGCAGCAGCAGCAGAACTGGAAGCAGAAGCAGAAGACAGCCAGTTCCACTGTGGGCCTGATTTGGCCTCCGGGCCACATGCTTGACACCCCTGGTCTAAGGGAAAGAAGCACCCACAAACAATTTAATATCTCAATCTATACATGTATTATAGGAAATGAATAAATGGTGGCAGCATGTGAACGGAACAGTGTTTGAGATCCAACCCCAATAACTCTGTGTGAGTGAAGGTTTGTTATTAAAGGGGGCTGGGCTACCCTGTCTGTGGATGTCTATGGGAGTGAGAGATGAGTGATGAGAAAGCCTCTTTCCTATTTAATAACATGTCCTGAGTCTTTTGTTTACATATGCATTCCCAAAATCATGTATAAAATGCAGTTTATTTTATATATAGGTTAATTTTATGTAATGGTTGAAAATCGTATCAAATCTCTGTTGAATTGCATATTCTTGTTTGGAATATTTGAAAAACATTGCACTTGAAGATATTGGTTCCCTGGACATTGTAAATTTCCTATTTTTTATTGCAAAGTTTATTTTTAATAACATCAGATATTCTTTGATGGTTATGGATCCCCCCCCATTTGAAATATCCTATTATATTGTTCGAATATCCAGAAAAATTGGAAATTGGTGTATATTTGAATACCAGATAAGGAAAGTTAAACAAAAGTCTAGATGGTAATATATATTATGAAGATGCAAGAAACCAGGCAGTCTTGTTTCCTTGGGATGACTGTTTCACCACAGATCCTGAATATTATATTGCTGTAGTAGTATATGAAGATGAATGTTCAGGCTTGCTGAGTTTATGCTTATTAGTTTTGTACCTATTACTAGATTAAAAACTCCCCACAGAAGAAACTCACCTTTCAGTTTTCTGTTTTGCTGTAAGGCATT